CCCCAAAACCCCAAAACCCCAAAACCCCAAAACCCCAAAACCCCAAAACCCCATAAGTCAAGTTTATTATTGAGACACAAGATTTTATAATAATAAAAATCGTGTTTAGAAATGAAGATGGAGCCCTGCAAGCATTTAATACGGTAAGTATGTTTTCAGAACCATCCAAGCGAGTCCAAGTTAAATATTTCCTTAAAATTAGAGTGGGCAGTTGGAATTGAGGGTTTTAGCTACTCTAGAAAATTAGAGGAGATGAAGGCTCCTACACTCAGTGGAGGTGGTGTTAAAGTGATTTAGAAGATCCAGGTGTCAAGGAGAGGAAAGAAAAGGAATAGTTTTTGGACAATTTTTGAGATTCAAGAGGATCTGGAGTCTTTCAGTTTGATCTTTATTGTTTTGAATCTTCAAAACATTTAGTTGCCTAACTGAAAATTTCTATTTTAGAAATCATTCGTTTCATTCTGGAGCTGCAGATAATTTCAGAATGAGCACCGCTAATTTTACTCTCTCAGACCCAAACATGTTTGACAGTGAAGGAGGGTTCATTCGTCTTCATGATGATGATACAATTAGTTTTACTGGATCCCTTCCCAGAAATCTTTCTAACAGTGACTATAAGACTTCTGTATCCATTTGGGTGTATATATTTGACTTTGAGTATTCTTTCAATCTTTTTTGTCTGCCTTTTAAATCGCATTTCAAAGACTCGACTGGGACTGCTGCTGACAGAGATATTGAATGCTGAGCAAGAGTTGAAGCAACAGGTGGTAGGAAGATCATTACATTCAGTTGTTACCTTGATGCCTCAAATAAATTTGCTAGAGAAATTAACATAACTTATGGGGATAGCCAAGGAGGATGGCATGTTTATGATTTCTCATTTAACGCAGAAAATTCTCTGAGTTTTGAACCTTCAGATGATTCAGATTTGAGAGTATGCTTTATGACCGATGCTACTACTCGAAGTTGTGAAGACATTGTAAATATTACCACGACTACAGACCCAATTTACACATCCTACCACTCGATTGGAAGGTTTACAACTAACGGGTCTTCTTACTCCCACTTCCTCGTGGGGTTAGTCTACCGGATATGTTTCCAAGACCAATTTAAAACCTGATCTAATCAGAAAAGGGACTGGATGATCTCCAATTACTCTGATGCTTATGCTGTTCATTTCAAGTTCAAAGATGTAACTCAGAATGGGTTCGAAGCTAACCAAATCACCAAGTAAGTAGCCACTCTTTGAGTAGCAATAGTATTCAATATTTTGAGTTAGACTAAAAGGCTTTGAAGTTGGGCTCTTGGACACTTTTTAGTCAGATGATTTAAGAACTTCTGGAAAAAATCACTTAGAAGCCAAATCTGTATTTGATCATTTAAAATAATTTAGGATTTTATCTGGTTTTAAATCTTCTTTCTTGGGTGTCCTAAATCAAATAAATTTTCAGAGAGTTTTATTGTTGGAGTATTTGCATAAAATTTTAACCTTTATTTTCTTTTGGCCTTAACCTCAGATCTAGCCGTGGGGTTGACTCCTCAGGAGGTAACACCTCTGTTTATTTCCGGAAGGAGATTATGAATACAAACAACTCAATTGCAATCACCAACATGGGCTGGATATACAACTATGAGGCTGATTCCCGTATGTTATCAGATGTTATTGAGGTTAACTACACCTCCCAGCTGACCATTGAGTTGGACTTGTTTTGTTACTTTGCAGATTGCCCTTTGCTTGTCAATCCGAAGAGTAAGATTTTTCTTAGGATCAAAGAAATTTGAATTAACAAAGAGCGAAATTTTGTTAACAGCATTTTAGAGGATCACGATATTTAATAATTATAGATGGAAATGGAGGTACTCTTTATCCAAGATTCCGAGTTGATTCAAACAAAAGCCAAATTTATAGACCGAATATTACTGATAGTTCTGATAAACTTAAAGTTAACGAGTGGAATAGAGTATTCTTTAGCTTTGCAAAACTAAACAGCACTCACCAAAAAGTATGAATTTTTCATAAAAGAATGTACGCTCCTGGATCTACAGGAACACAAGAGGAAACCTGTAAGCCTTAATTTTGATTAAAATATACTACTCTTGAAATCACAAAGCTTGACTTCCTTCTAGACAACTGTACAGAAACAGATTACTTAATAACTCAAGAAAATATAAAGCTTCAGCTTATTGGTCAAGATCTAATTCTTGCGAATGTAAAGATATACAAATGGGCTATTGGTCATTCAGCTATCTATGAACAGCTTCCTCGCTTTACTGGTGATGGAGAAGAGGCTTACAACTTCTCTCAGGGTTATACCAGCTATCCCTCTGGAAGTTCAGATGTTTGCCGTAAGTATCTCTTCTGACCTCTAGAAACTTACCTTGAGCCTGTTGAACACTGAGTTGGCTATCAAAGTCCATCTGCAAACAACTGCACAGCAGGATTTACAAAGGAAGGTCACTTCTGTTTCGAAACTTGCGGTGACGGAGTGTTCTACGAAACTCCTAGGGTACGTCCTCTATCTTATGTTTAGGTCTATGGATGCGACGATGGCAACACAACACCAGGAGATGGATGAAACGAGTATTGCGAGGAAGAAGGCACCCCTCCTTGTTCTTCTACTCATCTGGGCACAAGCGTCTGAGGGGTAAGCTGAGGCAATGCAATCAAGCAGTCAGAAGGTAGTGAAGAATGCGATGACGGCAATCTTATCGATGGAGATGGATGAGCCTCTAACTGAACAGTTGAGTCAGGCTATGCCTGTAGTGGAGCAGATGGACAACTGAGCCAATGAAATCTTGTTGTTTGAGGAGATGGTAAGAGGTACTCTAACCAAGGAGAAGAATGTGATGATGGGAACGACGTTAATGGAGACGGATGAGCCTCTGATTGTAAAATTGAACCAAATTATGACTGCTCTGGACTTGAAGGTCAGCAGAGCAATTGAGTTCCCTACATTTGAGGAGATGGCAAGAAACAGTCAGTCATTGGGGAGGAATGTGATGATGGAAACCTAATAAATTGGGATGGTTGACATCAGGATTGCAAAATCGAAGCATACTATAGTTGTACTGGACTTGATGATGAGCTTAGTCAATGAAATTTAGTTGATTATTGAGGAGACGGCAAGAAACAATCAACTAATTCTGAAGAGTGTGATGATGGAAATAATTCAAGTGGAGATGGATGAGATCAGTATTGTGAAATTGAACCTAAAAATACTTGTACAGGGTTAGAAGGAGAGATTAGTCTATGATCTCCTCAATGTGGAAATGGAGTGCGAGACTCAGGAGAAACATGTGATGACAAAAATTCTATGAGTTTGGATGGATGTGATTCTTCTTGTAATATTGAAGAAAACTATATATGAACTAATGATGCTACACTTGCTAGGGACATTTGAATTTCAAAATATTTCCCTCCAATTGTTTCTAAGAATGTTCTGACAGTAGCAACCTCTGAAATAGTTTACACTTTTAATGATTCAATGGTCGAACATAATTTTACTGGAGGAGAAATTTCGATGAGTGTTTCTTCTCCCATTTCTACATATGATGTAGTCTGGATAGCATCGTTTGAGAAAGTGGATGAGCTTAAGATCAAATACTCTATAATTCCAGAAATTTTAGGAGGAAATGGAGAGATATTGCAAGTTACATTTGAAGACGTCAATGCTTTCACTTCCCAAGATAAGATGACAATCTCAAATAATGTGCAATATAAATACCAGTTTGGAGAAATTCCTGCCTCAGCTACAACAGAAGCAGCAGGTTCTGGCGCTACAGTCATGTTCTTCCTCACTTTTGGATTTTCTATTGGTGTGAGTGTGCTGACAGGGTCTTCAATGGAACTAATGTGGAGTCTAACAAATACCTTACAGATAGTATTTATCCTTGGGCTTTTGAGATTGCATTATCCTTCAAATCTCAAAGAAGTGTATTCTTACATGAAATACTCAAATTTTGATAACCCGATAACCAAGAAGCTCTCTGAGATATCGCTAAGTAGTTTCAGCTTTGTATCGTCACCCATTAATGAAGACTTTGAGGATCTGGGATTTGGCTCATCAAACATCATAGTCAACTCACTTGACAAGATATTCTTGATATTCTTTTTAGGACTAATCATCTTCCTGGTTTACTGACTCTTTCTGTGTCTCAAGAGGAAGAAGACCTGGTTCGCTAAAAAGATCACTAAGGTTGACAAGTCATTGCGATATGAGTCATCAACAAGATTCATAGTTGAAATTTCGATGAATTTGTCAGTCTCCATCATGCTTAATGTGTTTTATGGATCAAAAGGAGGATTGTTTGAAACTCTTTCTCTTATATTTGCAATTCTACTCTTCTGCTTGCTCACATTTGTCTTTTTGTATGCAACCATTTGGCCGCTAGTGTATTTTAAGCAACTTCAAGTTTACCCAGATCGTTATGAGAGACATTGCTTTTTGTTCTTGGAGTTCAAGACCCAGCATATAAAGTGCGTCCTGTTCTACTCATATTTCACACTCAGAAGAGTTCTAATTGCCGTAGTTGTAATCGGTATGCAAAACTTTGTACGGATCCAAATAATTTGTCTGACACTACTGTTCTTTTGGGTTGCAAAATACCAAGTCATATACAAGCCATTTAAGTCGGAAGCAAGCAACTTTCTCAACAGTGCAAATGAGATATTTTTGGTGATTTTCTGCCTTGCCCTTCTCAATTTCATGAGCCCAAATGATGCAAACAAGCTTGAACTCTTTGGATTCACCTGTATTGGAATGATTGCCATCTTCTTCATAATCAACTGGGGTTTGATACTTCCCATGAAAGCCATCAGCACACTCAAAAATTGTGTAAAGAAGTGAAAGAAGAAGACCCCTCAAGAGAAGGAAAAAGAGAGGATGAAGAAGGTCTTAAAATCAATCGCTGAATCAAGAAGACTTGAACCAAATAACATAGTCAGTACTTTGCGTCCAAATCCTAATCCTCAGATCTCGGAATATTCACTCCAACTTCAGATGAGAGATGCTCGTGTTTACAAATTACCAAGAAAAATTAATGAATAATATCTCAATGCGTTCAATCAGATAATCCTCATCTGGGGTTTTGGGGTTTTGGGGTTTTGGGG